TGGACAGATTTACTATTATTTTCTTGAAATCCACTGCTAAACATCCTTGAGAATACAGGAGACCTGCAAAGAGAGAGCACGGAAATGGATGTCCTTCTCCTGAAAAAAATACTCCAGCTAAATAAAAATGACACGGCAAGAAAAGGGACAAGCGAAACCGTGCTTTACGGATTTGTGCGTAGTGAAGGAAAGGGAAATCAGAGAGGAGAGCCAACTAACCATGCAGCGAGAATGCAGCGATGAGCACGGATTTCTTTCCCATCATTTGTCTCCAACGTTATGTCACAAAAGGACGCATCCAGCATGCCTTTAAACTTTTCTGCAAGCAACCTAAGATCCTCAGCTTTACACTTTGCTTCCTCCAACTCCTCGTTTTTCCTTTTCAAGTCGTTAATAGTTGAGGATACATTTACACAACTCGGGCAAACTGCCTGCGCAGTGTTTCTGTAATGACCCCCACCGCAGATGAAGCACGGAGTCATTACTGCCTAGGCTTCTTGTCAAGGAGTAAGGTTTGAAATGAGTTCAGGATGATGGAGAACTGCAGACGTGACTCACAACTGAAGGTGAGCATGTCACAAACAGAATTAGCGTGCCTCGCTCCCGCAAATTATCCTCTCACAAAACGTTGAACGAAGCATTATCGTGCACGCAGGGCTGAGGGAGTAATATGTTCTCGGCATAAGAGAACTACTTAGCAAAAACTATAATCAAGGACTCTGACTGGCTCGTCTTGCCAGGCTGAAAAAACTAACCTGATCTGATCATCGACCACCTAAATCCGTACCTGCCTGGAATGGTTACAAGAATGGATGGAGGCATTGCCTAATCTCCGAAAAGTACGGCTGCTGGAGGTTTTGTCTGATGGATTGCTGAAAAGCAGAGAGATGCAAGGTTGAAGTGTCATTCACATCGCAAGGTAAAAGAGTCTGTGGGGACTAAACCCTCAGGTCGGAAGATGTTGTACACGGTTTGGTGTGTTATGACAGATTAGAGATCGTTTATGTCAGGTTAAGCGTTTTTCGATTGCAACATGTCCAGTTCCGCAAATCATAGAGGGTTCCCGCCCGCGGCACTTGGAAATTGGCAGAGTAGGGGGCGTATTCGTTATGCGGCAAGGTCAATTTTGTTTGTGACGTTTGTCAATTTTCCTGCGCAAAGAGTCACCTGATTCCGTTTGGAATAACCAGTTCCTACTGGCAAATTAAAGGATCCGTGACACTTGGAGGCTACAATTCTCCTGTACAGCCACGCAGACTGCGAGGGCGGCCTGATGAAATGTACACGAAATCGCCTGCTGGAACAGCTTCGTTTAACGAGTCAGGACTCGGGGGATGGCTTCTACTACGCGCGTCGACTCCTAGTACTAACGGTTGGGAAATAGTGAGCAGAACGGGATCCGAGGGCACTGAAAGGGAACTCGCGCGACGCGACCTTAGGATAAATGATTTTCTCGTTTCCTGATCACGGTGTCGGATTAGTAGGAGAATCACGCCTGCGACGTTTTCTCCCCAGCCCTCGCGACATCGGCGTGCGACCGTTTCAGTCACACGACCAGATGCACGGAATGAAGAGGGCCGGGAGGCCGGGGATGGCGGGGAAGGCGGGGAGAGCTGGGACGAGGAGGCTGATTGGGACGAGGATCGGAACCAGCGAGCTTCGCCGTCGCCCGTGCTGCACGACCATGCGACATCCGTGCGACGAGCTCTGGCGGCAGGCGACCCTGGCGACTCGATGAGCAGCGCAGACGGCATGTCCACCGCAGTAGGCGCCGCAGGACGCGGCGGGTTGGGCCGCCATAGATCGCGGGAAGTCCGGCGCCTCGAGCAGCCAATCACACGCAGCCAGCTGGCGCTTATCAGCCTGAGTTGACGTGATTATGGACGATCAGGGGGGAGAAAAGGGAGGGAAGAAGCGGAGGGAGCAGGTGGTGTTGCCAAATTTGGGGTGTAAAGGTGAGATTTGCCCAGCATTTTCAGGGTGCGGGCAGGGGATACATGCGTGCTGGAACCCGGAATTCTTGGACGGGCAGGTGAATGATAACAGTGGTAAAAATGAGGTTCTAGACAAAAACGATTCAGCAGCGAATCACGACAGTCCTACTCCGTTAGAGTCACATCACAATGCCACAGGAAGCAATGCTAATGTGAGTGCTGCTGGTGACACATAAGCTGCTGCCACTATCAGCAGCCCTTCAGTCCCACAGGATGCAGTTGCAGCTACTGCTACCTCAGCAACAGCAGCAGCCCATGCTGACTCATCAGCAGCAAATGCCACTAGCAGCAGCCAATCAACCCAGGATACTTCGGCTGGTAAGGCCACCCCACCGGCGACAGCTAATGCTACCCCATCAGCAGCAGCTAATGCTTCCCCATCGGCGCCCGAGGTGTCGACGAGAAGGCGATTGGTGGGGAGGTAGCAGGTATGGGACGGCCGGCAGGTGCCAGATAAAGTCAGGCAGGCTAGAGAAAGAGGGCTGCAGTTGATAGAGAGCGGACGGCACGGGTCGGTAGCATCAAGGGGAGCATCGAGTGGTGTATCAAGCGGTGCTGTGCGGTTGAGATGCCCTCCCATCAGCGCACAGAAAATCATGCCAGGCATGGTGCTGCTACCCAACTGCTCCCTTGCCATAGCCTCTCATCTCAAGAGGACGGGCTAAAGGCATGGGTAATAAAGGGAGAGGCGGAGGGGAAGCAAGGGGCGGGGGAGGAGGGAGAGGGGGCGGACGTAGACGGGGAAGGGGATGGGGAAGAGAAGGAGGAGGCGGAGGAGGTGGTTGGGGAAAAGGTGGAGGGGGTGGGGAAGGGGGTGCGGTATGGGGGGGGGGAGGGGGTGGGCGGGGCGGGTGGTGGAGTTGAGGGGCGTGTGGGTGGGCGGGGCGGGTGCGGCAGGAGGAGGGCGCTCAGTGAGGTGAGATGCGGTTTTTCTACTAACTCTTTTGCCTTCTTCACATTTAGCTCGTCTTTGTGTTCATCCTGTGCATTTTGCTGTGCACCTGTGGACCTGTGGTTATGTCTTGTCTCCCCATGGGTGTGTGCATGCGTGAATGCATGTCCATGCATGGTCGCATGTGTTTATGCGCGTGCATGCGTAACCGTATGTGTTAATGCATGTGTGGTTGCATGCCCATGCCAGCTCAGCCCTTCACATACCCAGCATCAACACCAGCCACCGTCCATCCCCTTGCCATCAACCTAGCCGCCCCTCCCTCCAAATCCAACACACTCATTTCCTCATCCTCCTCCTCTTACTCCTCCTCTTCCTCCTCCTCCTCCTCCTCCTCTCCTCCCTCACGAGCCTCATTCTTCCACCACCTCGTCCATCACCTCCCTCTCTTTCCCCCACTCGCCCCTCTCAGAAACTGTGATATGTGCGGAAAGCCCGGACACCGCCGAAGAGACTGCCCAGACGCACCGACCTGTGAGGAGTGTGGGGAAAGGGGGCATCAGGTGAGGTGAAGGACTGCTATCAGACGACAGGTGAACCAAAGAGGTCATCCGAGGAGATAGAAATCCAGATTGGGAGGCTAGCTGACCTGCAGGCGTTCGGGCGAATGAAAGAGAAGGAGGCAGGGTTGTACCCAAGGGAGGAAGAGGAGCGGGAGCCAGAGTATTGTTGCTGTGATTAGAAGGTAGGTGCGCTGAGAAGGTAGGTGCGCTGAGAAGGTAGGTGCGCTGAGAAGGTAGGTGCGCTGAGAAGGTAGGTGCGCTGAGAAGGTAGGTGCGCTGAGAAGGTAGGTGCGCTGAGAAGGTAGGTGCGCTGAGAAGGTAGGTGCGCTGAGAAGGTAGGTGCGCTGAGAAGGTAGGTGCGCTGAGAAGGTAGGTGCGCAGAGAAGGTAGGTGCGCTGAGAAGGTAGGTGCGCTGAGAAGGTAGGTGCGCTGAGAAGGTAGGTGCGCTGAGAAGGTAGGTGCGCTGAGAAGGTAGGTGCGCTGAGAAGGTAGGTGCGCTGAGAAGGTAGGTGCGCTGAGAAGGTAGGTGCGCTGAGAAGGTAGGTGCGCTGAGAAGGTAGGTGCGCTGAGAAGGTAGGTGCGCTGAGAAGGTAGGTGCGCTGAGAAGGTAGGTGCGCTGAGAAGGTAGGTGCGCTGAGAAGGTAGGTGCGCTGAGAAGGTAGGTGCGATGAGAAGGTAGGTGCGCTGAGAAGGTAGGTGCGATGAGAAGGTTCCATGGTTCCTGTGCCCCCAGCAGCAGTTGCCACTAGCAGCGTTGCAGCCACCCTCACTGTTCCCTGCGTTGCTGCTTCCCTCATTACTCCTCCACCCATTGCTCCTCCGCCCGTTGCTCCTCCCCCCATTGCTCCTCCCCCCATTGCTCCTCCGCCCATTGCTCTTCCCCCCATTGCTCCTCCTCCTATTGGTGCTCCCCCCATCGTTCCCCCAAGCCAACATGCCAATGCCTACCCCCAAGCCCCTTCAATCTTCCTCCCCATCTCTCAACCCCAGCCGCCCAATCCCTCCCCATCCATTCCTCCATTGCCCCTCCCCTCCCCACTCCCCTCCCCACTCCTCATCACCCCTCTTCACCGCATGCCACCCACCACACCATCCACACCCCTGGCGAGTGATAGTGCAGACGCACAAAGCAGACACTCACAGGCTCTAAGCACGCAGCCTCAGCCAAAGGTGCAGCGCCAACAGCAGCAGCCACAGCAGCAGCCACAGCAGCAGCCACAGCAGCAGCCACAGCAGCAGCCACAGCAGCAGCTACAGCAGCCACAGCAGCAGCCACAGCAGCAGCTACAGCAGCCACAGCAGCAGCCACAGCAGCAGCTACAGCAGGTACAGCAGCAGCCACAGCAGCAGCCACAGCAGCAGCTACAGCAGGTACAGCAGCAGCCACAGCAGCAGCTACAGCAGGTACAGCAGCAGCTACAGCAGGTACAGCAGCAGCTACAGCAGCTGCAGCAGCAGGTACAGCAGCAAGCACAGCAGAAACGGCACCAGCACTACCATCTCCCACTCAGCTCCTCCCCCTCTGACTTCCCTGCTTCCACCTCCCTTAGCATGTGGATTCACGGCTCTCCTGGTAGTTCTGTTTCTGACATGCATGGTGCTGCTGGCTCTGCTAACAGCAGTGCTCCTGATGCAGCTGTCCCTGCCGCCACCTCTCTCAACACTTGGATTCATGGCTCTCCTGGTAGTTCTGTTTTTGACATGCGTGCTGCTGCTGGCTCTGCTGGCAGTGCTCCTCCTGCTGCTGTCCCTGCAACTGCAGCCAGCTCTGCTGCTGCTGCTGCTGCTGCTGCTGCTGCTGCTGCTGCTGCTGCTGCTGCTGCTGCTGCTGCTGCTGCTGCTGCTGCTGCTGCTGCAGTTGCCCCTGCACTTGCAGGGAACGTTTCTGTGACCGCTGTTGGTGGGAATTTGGCAAGGAATGGGAGAGTGGGAGATGAGCCAGCTGCAACAGGAGCAGCAGCAGCTGGGGCAGAGGCTGAGGAGACAAGTGAGGGGTCAGTGGAAGGATTGGAGGGAGATGGTGGAGGGGAAGGGGGAGAAGAAGGGGCTGGGGGGGAGGAAGAGGAAGGTGATGAGGATGAGGAGTTGAGGATGATGGAGAATGACTATGAACAGCAGGTATGTGCCATCAGATCAGCATATGTGCATGCATGCATGCATGCAGTGCCACACCAAGTATGTGTGCATGCATGTGTGTGTGAGTTGAGGATGATGGAGTGGAGAATGACTATGCGCAGCAGGTATATGTTATCAGCCTGTGTGCATGCATGCAGTGCCACACAAAGTATACACGTACATTTCAGCATGCGTGCATGTAAGGAGCGACTGAGGATGGCGGCGAGGAGGAAGGGCTGAGGATGATGGAGAATGACTATGAGCAGCAGGTATGAACAGTGTTATATGCATGTATGCGTGCATGCATAGTGCTGCTGTTGCCTGTGCGTGGGTGCATGGTGATGTGATGAGGAGGAGGAGTTGAGGATGATGGAGAATGACTATGAGCAACAGGTATGGACAGTGTTACATTCGTGAGACCGTGTTTGCATTCAAAGAGCTGCTGTTGCCTGTGCCTGGTGATGAGGAGGAGGAGTTGAGGACGATGGAGAATGACTATGAATGGCAGGTAGGTGCAGTTAGCAATCAGCATGTCTGTGAGCATGCGCGCATGTAAGCAGGGGCTGACGAGGGCAATGAGGAGGAGGTATTGAGGATGATTGAGAATGACTATGAGATGCAGGTAGGTGCAGTTAGTGATGCAGGTAGGTGCAGTTAGTGATGCAGGTAGGTGCAGTTAGTGATGCAGGTATGTGCAGCTAGTGATGCAGGTATGTGCAGTTAACAATCAGCATGTCTGTTAGCATGCATGCATGTAAGCGGGGGCTGAGGAGGGTGATGAGGAGGAGGAGGTGAGGATGAAGGAGAATGACCATGAGATCCAGGTATTGGCGATTGGCATGTGTGCATGAATGAAAGGCCACACCAAGTGTGTATGTATATTTGAGCATGCGCGTGTGTCAGAAGAGACTGGCGAGGGTGATGAGGAGGAGGAGGTGAGGATGAAGGAGAATGACCATGAGCAGCAGGCACGCACACTGCTATACATATGTGTTTGTGTTTGCATGCGCAGTGCTGCTGTTCCTGTGTGTATGTGTGTTGTAACACATACATCAACCATGTAGGCATGGTGATGTGATGAGGAGGAGGAGCTGAGGATGATGGAGAATGACTATGAGCAGCAGGTAAGTCCGATTAGAAGGTACCGTAGGTGCGATGAGCAGGTGCGTGTGCATGTGTGCATGTGCTCATGTGTGCATGTGTGCATGTGTGCATGTGTGCATGTGTGCATGTGCTCATGTGTGCATGTACGCATGTGTGCATGTGCTCATGTGTGCATGTGCTCATGTGTGCATGTGTGCATGTGCTCATGTGTGCATGTGCACATGTGCTCATGTGTGCATGTGTGCATGTGCGCATGTGTGCATGTGTGCATGTGCGCATGTGCTCATGTGTGCATGTGCGCATGTGCTCATGTGTGCATGTGCTCATGTGTGCATGTGCGCATGTGTGCATGTGCGTATGTGCTCATGTGTGCATGTGCGCATGTGTGCATGTGCGCATGTGCTCATGTGTGCATGTTCGCATGTGTGCATGTGCGCATGTGCTCATGTGTGCATGTGCGCATGTGTGCATGTGTGCATGTGCGCATGTGCTCATGTGTGCATGTGCTCATGTGTGCATGTGCGCATGTGTGCATGTGCGCATGTGCTCATGTGTGCATGTGCGCATGTGTGCATGTGCGCATGTGCTCATGTGTGCATGTGCGCATGTGTGCATGTGCGCATGTGCTCATGTGTGCATGTGCGCATGTGTGCATGTGTGCATGTGCGCATGTGTGCATGTGTGCATGTGCTCATGTGTGCATGTGCGCATGTGCTCATGTGTGCATGTGCGCATGTGCTCATGTGTGCATGTGCGCATGTGCTCATGTGTGCATGTGCGCATGTGCTCATGTGTGCATGTGCGCATGTGCGCATGTGTGCATGTGCGCATGTGCTCATGTGTGCATGTGAGCGGTATCACACCATCGCCATGTGTTTGAAGTAGTGTTGTGAGACGCCTCAAAACACTACTTCAAACACTGCGCGCATGTGCGCATGTGTCTATCCTGATGTGGAGGAGGAGTTGGGGATTTGGGAAATGACTATGCGTTGAGATGCAGGTAGGTGCGCTTGAATTCATTGCTTCCCCTACCTTTTCCCCACCTGCACTCCCCTGCCCCTCTTCACCCGTTCTCCTTCCCCCCCGCCTGCCCCCCCATCAGGTGCAGCAGGCGGAGGAAAGAGCCCTGTGGTGGCGCCACGCAACCATAGAGCTCGCCTCCCGGATACTGCACTGCACCGCTCTGCACCCCTCTGCACCGCACTCTCCCAGTACTGCTCACACCAGTGCTGCAGCTGCCCCTGGTGGTTCCAAAACCCTTGCCAGCCTTACCCGGGCGTCCGAATCCACTTTAGATATTGCTTCTGGTTCCAAAGGTCTTGCTGCTGAATCAGTGTTACTCGAGAGCAGCAGCCATGATGTCATGTCTTAGTTGCTATGCAACGAGGGCAATAATTGCGGTTCAGGAGGGGGATCGGCAGCAGCAGGTTTTGTGCAAGGCCAGAGCCTTAGCAGCAGCACTGGTGGGTCAATTCCGTCAATCCCGTGTGACTCTATCGAAGGAATGAGTGCAGCAGTCTCGAGTACTCTGCTGCCAATCGCCTCCATTGCCACTGCAGTTTCAGCGGCAGCAGCGCTGGCAGATTCACCAGAAGCACAGCTGCTGCAGGCTGCAAGAGAGGCGCTGAATAAGGCTCTGTGCTTAGAGAATGAATGACTGGCCAGATGCAGCCTGTTACAGCTACACGTGTAAATATGATGGATTTTGCAGAGTTTTGCTGTACCATTACCTGCTCTCTTGATGGTAAATTTGACCTGTCGTTGGTCTTTGTTACTGGACATGATAAAACTTGATTGAACCACACAGTAAATAGCACCCACATGTCTACTTAGCACCCACATGTCTACTTAGCACCCACATGTCTACTTAGCACCCACATGTCTACTTAGCACCCACATGTCTACTTAGCATCCACATGTCTACTTAGCACCCACATGTCTACGTAGCACCCACATGTCTACTTAGCACCCACATGTCTACTTAGCATCCACATGTCTACTTAGCACCCACATGTCTACTTAGCACCCACATGTCTACTTAGCACCCACATGTCTACTTAGCACTCGTCATAGGATTTAAGATCTCAATCATACAGCACACTAGATTACAAATTACAAATAGTGGTAACTTAAATCAACATAATGATTTGTATCTTTATGTATGAATAGAATTTCTCTACAGGGAGGGAGGGGTGGGTTGTAGATTCAGATCTACGAATGAAATGGACTAGGTGGCAGGTCCGTGGACCTGCCACAAGATAAGGAGCACTTGACTCCTTACTGCATGCTCCTTTACAAGTGTTGTCACAATCTTTAAATTTTGAAATATAATTCAAATTTTTTCATATTAAGACAAGACTCTTCAAGGAGTCTGCAGAGCAGTCGTCATAGGTTGCACGAGACATTAGGTATGTAAGTAAAAAGAATGATTATTCTTACTATTAAAAATATTGATTTTTACGCATTACGCTTCTTATCGGGTGGACCGGGAAGAGAATTTCCATGAAATTGGGGAGAGCAAAGAAGGCTTCGCAAGCATCACCGAGAGTAAGCAACAAGGATATTATCTATCTTGCACTGAAGAATTCAACACCTTTGCAAGCTTTCCAAGTTACGGGCCAGAGAAGCTTTCCAAAGTGTTTAGGCGTGTGCTTGTTCAAGACAGAACTACGGTAACGAATTGTCCGCGGTGTACAATAGCGCGATAAATATTGGTCAGTACATGAGCACGAATGGTCTGGTCGATGTTATCATGGTGATGCAATAGCGCGATAAAAATGGCCCGTACATGAGCATGAACGGTCTTGACTATGTGATTCTGATGATGTTATCACTCCGTAGCACGCTGACGCGACCAGCGCTACATGGTCGAGAAGAAAACCATGGCTCTCGTTAGATTGCATGAGATTCTGAATGGCATTGGCTAAACAATGACTTATTTATGTAATGCATAACGCAAGGCAGCGTTGAGAATAAAGGCTTCGAAAATTGTACATGCTTCACCGCTGTCAATCACTTGTGAGGTGACATACTGAGGATTGAGGCATTCAGATATATGTACGTGTGTATCATTTGTGCGTAATACTTGCGAAAACAGGATGGACCGCATATTTCAATGCCAAGGAAAAGCGGTTGTTCGTCAACTTTGATCATGGGCATCACAACTTTCGAGATGAAAAACGCATCATTGAAAAATCCGTACTTGCCAGGATACACGTAAGACGAGACCCTCTTCACGAGACCGTCGTCGTAGGGTGGAACATATTGCGTCAGATGCGTAGAGAAGATTTGTGCCAATGCAAACGCAAAGTAGTGTGCGCGTAAGGCCACAATGCAAGTATTCGTAGCGGAGGTGCTCATGACACAAGCACGAGCCGAGTTTGGATAGACACTTTGTTCATGATAATGCTTTCCGCAGCATCGTACCAAAGAGGCACACGCACGTGCCTTTTCTGTTCAAACAACCAACGAAGAATGAACATATGCTCGTGAGATGAACCTGAAGTGATCCATGAGTACATCGACGCACGTGCAAAATACTTTGTAAGATGGCAGGCTAGATCATTGTTGTGGTTGTGACACATTCCGTGTCGATACAAACGTAAACGCGAGGACAAGATGCTCATCACGACCCACAGTAGGGCATACCCTTATACCCTGCATAGTGTTTGCGTGGGGATGGTTTTTCATATCCAATAATGACCAATAGAATTCTGGTTGTGTGAGTATATAGAAGAAACCACGCTCTAATTTCCTTGACCGGATGCCAAGACGCGGTGTCGTCGAATAAACCCTTAAGCATGTATACATGCATGTTGCCATGTAGCCACAGAGTAAAGAAGGAACCTTTGTAACGGATGTACTGTACTTGTAAGGCCAATGCAAAGTCTGTTATGATGGATTGGTTTCTTCAAAAGGCAGCCCTTGCTACAATTCTTATGCCAAACATGACAATCTCAAAGAAGAACGTCAAATGAGTCACAATAATGGCAATGGCAAAAAGAACCTGGCAAACGCCAGGGTTGATAACGCCAACCCGCATGTAGAGACGTTACGTCAAATGTTCGCAAAATCCGCATGGGAACGCTGGTAACTACCGTGATTGATATTGGCAGTTCCGTCCAAAACAAACGTGTAACTTTGCAAAACAATACCGCGAGCAAAGACTTCATCATCTCAAGCGGTTGATCCCAGCCACCAAGCTCATGTCATTCAGAATGGCAGACAACCAAATGTCCAATCCAAACCCAACGTTTAATCTCCACGTGTAGTTTCAGCAACTTCAACGTGGAAAATCGAATGAGTGATATACGATATCGTAATTGGTAGAGGGCATATTTACGCCATAAACAACTTTGAAGAAAGAAGAGGGTTGCACTAGCAAGAATGAGGATACAAATAGCAAACCCTAGAAGGGTTGTACTCGCTATAGAGCACCCCACTACAGACTAGAGCATAAGATAACATTCTGACACACCCCCATAGCCAAAGTGGGGTGTAATCAGCAGAGTAAGCAAAGGAGTACAAGCTCAGGGTGGATCACAATGTCACCACACATTCTGAGCACAAGTTCAAGAAGCAATAGTTTAAGTTCACAATTATGAGCAAAGCTAGTGGTAGTCACAACGGGCAAGTGAGGAGGAGGAGAGAGAGTGAGAGGAGAGGAGATAGGAGGCGACGGCTGAAGCTGCAGACACACAGGCAACAGGAGGCAGACTGGCACAGCGGCTACCGGACGAAGTCCCCGGAATACAGGAGTAACAGGCCCCGCGGCTAAAGTAGCGGCAGACGAGCAACGGACCCACGGGCGGCTGGCACAGCTGGCTACGACTGGGCTACCGGACGAAGTCCCCGGAATACAGGTGCTGCTGGCGACACGACGGCAACCTCCATTCAGCTTCCCCAAACTATCCCACTCCCCCCTGGCACATACCCGCTGCTACACCGCTAGCTCCACTCCCCCTTCACCCCCCCTTAGTACCACTCCACCGGCTCCAACACGTCCACCCCCCCTCAGCGGCAGCTGCAGCACAGGGAGACGGAGGAGGAGGAGGAGCAGGGAACAGTACACAGTGGGTGCACCCCCATACCCCGCACCCCCAAACCCTAATACAGGAGAATGGGGAGTAGGAGGGGTGGGGCACGAGTAGAAGCGCTGGGGGACAGTAGGGAGGGCAGGGGCAGCAAGGAGCGGGCCCACCACGGGCCTGGTAGGGTCGCCCGAACCGCGCGTAGGCGGCCTGAGCCGCGCGCGGGCCTGGCGCCGCCCGTACGGGCCGCGCGCGGGCCTGGCGCAGCCCGTACGGGTGGCGCGCGGGCCTGGCGCAGCCCGTACGGGTCGCGCGCGGGCCTGGCGCAGCCCGTACGGGTCGCGCGCTGGCCTGGCGCAGCCCGTACGGGTCGCGCGCTGGCCTGGCGCAGCCCGTACGGGTCGCGCGCTGCCTGTACGGGCCGCGCGCAGGCCACGACGGGCGACGGGGGGCGACGAACGGGTCCCCGTCGCCCGTCGCGGCGCCTCCCGAGGGCGACGCGACGGTTGACGGGGCCGAAGCCCGCCGCGCGCCTCGGGGCGCACAGCGGGCAGAGAACCGCCGCGCGCCTCGGGGCGCACGGCGGGCAGAAAACCGCCGCGCGCCTCGGGGCGCACGGCGGGAAGAAAACCGCCGCGCGCCTCGGGGCGCACGGCGGGAAGAAAACTGCCACACGCCACGGGGCGTGCGGCACCGAGTGTAGTGGTAGGAGTTGCAGCGGAAGCTAGGAGGTGGTAAGCCCACCCACAGGATCGATCCAAGGGGATCGACCTGCTCTGATAGCATGTTAAAGTTTTGAAGAAAGAAGAGGGTTGCACTAGCAAGAATGAGGATACAAATAGCAAACCCTAGAAGGGTTGTACTCGCTATAGAGCACCCCACTACAGGCTAGAGCATAAGATAACATTCTGACACTTCAAACGCCAATATTGCCCCCTTTTTTTTATTATTATTACCGGTAGCAATGGTGGTGTAAGCGCAACTGACCGATATCTCGGTATCAATAGTAATGCATGTGTCAGAATCCCAACCACTAGACCACTGGGATAAAAGGGCTTGTTTCAGTAGCGGGTCAGTGCGCCCATAACCCCCCAGGCAAACGCGCCTGTAACCCCCCCTAGGATCGATCGGGGATCTCACAGTGCAGCTCTACTGACACCCCCCCACACTGGGAGGCCCAGGACTGAGCACAGTGGCAACGGCCTACATGTGCATACACCGGGATTCGAACCCGAGACCGCTCTGATACCATGTCAGAATCCCAACCACTAGACCACTGGGATAAAAGGGCTTGTTTCAGTAGCGGGTCAGTGCGCCCATAACCCCCCAGGCAAACGCGCCT